GGGGCTGGGGGGGGTTCTTGGGGGGGGGGGGGGGGCTTGGCTGTGCCCCTCACAGTTGGGCACTCCCCCCCCCCCAAGGAAGGGGGCAGCCCCCCAGCAGTGTGGGGAACAGTGTCAGAGCTGCAGCCAGGCATGTGTGTCCCTGGTGCACACAAGGGCCTGACAACACCCTTGTGGGGCTGTTGGTACACCTCAGTACAGATCCCTCCTCTCAACGTACACCCTAACACCCTCCCCCCCCCCCAAGGAAGGGGGCAGCCCCCCAGCAGTGTGGGGAACAGTGTCAGAGCTGCAGCCAGGCATGTGTGTCCCTGGTGCACACAAGGGCCTGACAACACCCTTGTGGGGCTGTTGGTACACCTCAGTACAGATCCCTCCTCTCAACGTACACCCTAACACATCCACCTGTAGGTACCAGACCCTGGGCTGTCCCTCTCTGTGGGTACCCCAACACGTGCCCTGTTCTCAGGACACTCCTCTGCGTGTGTATGCTGCCCGCACAACCTGATGATACTGTCTTTATGTGTACAGTGACGCACAGGGCTGTGTACACCCGTGTAAAGTACAGCGTCCCCCCCCAACAGGGGGTTCAAGCAGCCTCCCAGCGCAAAAACACAAACACACCCTGGAAAAAAATTCCCTGTTGTGCCTGTGAACACCCTGAATCCAGCATAGGTGTGCGTCACGTCACCGGGAACAGCCCTGGGGCACATGGATACGCATGCGGAGCTTGGATGTGTCCTGTGTGTGTGCGCAGATACCTCTTGCGTGGGGGTGCTCACGCTTTCCTCTTAAATCAGTGGGGTCTGATCCCTGTCTGTGGGTTGCAGAGGTGGGAGTCACCTCGATAAGGAGTCAGGAAGGGAGCACGCCTGGCTCGGAGGGAAAATGGGAGACTCGGTGTTGTCTCCCTTGACCCTTGTCCTGTCTGTCTTCTCAGAATGACCGACTGGGAGACGGCGCCCGCCGTCACGGAGACCCCCGACATCAAACTGTTTGGCAAGTGGAGCACGGATGATGTGCAGATCAATGACATCTCCCTCCAGGTATTTTTGACGGGAGAAGGGTTTAAACTGGGACTCTGGGGGCCCTCTATTCCCTGCTGGGCACCTCTGCGCGCCCGAGTGTGCCAACCTCTGTGTCCCGCCAGGACTACATCGCCGTCAAGGAGAAGTATGCCAAGTACCTGCCCCACAGCGCCGGGCGCTACGCGGCCAAGCGCTTCCGCAAGGCCCAGTGCCCCATCGTGGAGCGGCTCACCAACTCCATGATGATGCACGGGCGCAACAACGGCAAGAAGCTCATGACCGTGCGCATCGTCAAGCACGCCTTTGAGATCATCCACCTGCTCACTGGCGAGGTGGGGGGGGGCCCCGTGGACTTTGGTGGGGGAACGTAGGGTGCTGGGCTGGTCCTCATGGGTGGCCCAGTGGTGTGGGGAGCTGATGGGGACGCAGCAGCGGGGTGGTTTGGGGTAGGTAACGGGGCCTGGATTGGGTGCGAGCTGACGTGGGGCGGGCTGCCTGCCTGCCACGGGGTGCCCGCAGCTGATTTCTCCTCCCCTCCTGCGCCTCGGCAGAACCCCCTGCAAGTCCTGGTTAACGCCATCATCAACAGCGGACCCCGTGAGGACTCGACCCGCATCGGCCGCGCCGGCACCGTCAGGAGACAGGCTGTGGACGTGTCCCCGCTGCGCCGCGTCAACCAGGTAAGTCCCCCGCTTTTCTCTGGGCGGTGCGGGTGCCCCTCTGTGCGCCCGTGCGGGCTGCCCGCCAGGTCTCCCCGGCCCTCACATCTCTGCTGCCCCAGGCCATCTGGCTGCTGTGCACCGGGGCCCGCGAAGCCGCTTTCCGCAACATCAAGACCATCGCCGAGTGCCTGGCGGACGAGCTCATCAACGCTGCCAAGGTGAGGTGGCGGGAGGGGCTGGGGGCTCTCCCCCCCCGTTTTTGGG